CTCATCCAAATCAATGATATATCGATTATCATTAGATTTGATTGGCTGGTGGGTTAAATATCACTTATTTCTATGCTAAAGTTAGGGATTGTCACAGAATTGTCAAAAAAGGAAGTAGAGATAGCATCCATTTGATTGGTTTGTTTGGGAGTAGTAGGATTCAGATCAAACAATTTCATTGATGTATTATTAATTGTTTCATTATCAGAAAAATTACTCGATTGGGAGGTGATTGACATGGTGGACAATTGTATTGCATGAAATATTGTTGGGTTTGATTGATTGACTTTTCCTTTTTGAGTGACAAGGGAAGTGATTGACGGTTGATTATTTTCAGGAGTAAGCTGCAAAGTATTTTTTGTTTTTTCCTCAGAAAAGAAGAGAAATTCTTGAAAACACTTGTGAAGGTGTTGGTCAATTTGGACTTTTTCCATTTTATTGACAATACTGTTAATGTAATTGAAGTTGAAGTTTTCAGTTCTGGGATTTTGGACTGTGGCTCTGATCATTGGGGTGAAGTTTTTTTTGGTGGAGATTTCTTCAAAGATAATAATTTTGACATCTTTAGTAGCACTGGAGTTAAGAATTTCTTCTATGTTTTTTCCTTCTTTAATGATAAGAAATTGTTTAGAATAGTTGATAAGATTAGAGGTGGTAATAGTTCTGGTATAATCAGTTTTGTGAATTGTGTTTATGTTTAAGTCAAGATAATAAATTTGTAGTTTTCGGTTTCAGTCATTATGAATAGTTGCATGGAGGAATTGTTTTGGATTTGTTGAAAGGGTTGTGGGCTTTATGATAGGAGTGGTTGATAGAGAGTGTACTTGAAGGCACTTGAAAAAGAATAAAAAGAATTTGTTTAAAGGCTGTTACTATAAAAGAAAATTTTTTGTCAAAAAATGATTTATGAAAGTTTTTTTTTTGTATTTATAATATGATAAAATAGAATAAATAAATTATATAATAAAATTTGAACTAAACTCTTTCCACTAATCTTCTTGCCAACCCAATAAACAGATATTCTCAAAAATAATTTTTATTTTTAATAATAAAGTCTATATACTTTTCTTAAAAAACTTTACTTTTTGAAGGCTAATATCTCTCCCACTTGTCTATTTTTCCTTCTTTACCAAGATCTATAAGAACCTTGGGTCCACTATAAGCAAACACCTTTTGTCCAAGGTAGATGAATAAGCTAGTTGGGCTTATCAGTGAATATACTCCCAAGTAATATGGGAATCTTGGATCCATCGTAAGTAAACTTCTTTGGTTCAGGCAAATGGATAAGCTGTTAAAAGTTTATTGTTCAGGTGTATGAACCTTTTTTACCATTCATATATATCTGTAGATAATACTTTTGAGCGTGTTCAATTTTTTCTTGGTTTTTTTGAGAAATTTTGCCTACTTCAGTTTGACTCTGAATTTTTTGTTATACTGAAAACTCTGGATAATAATTGATTGAAATCTTGGATTGGTTGATCAACAAGTAAAAGAAATATAAACAAGATATATACTTACACATGCCTTGCATCGTACCACATTATAATCAATGATGTAATTAAATAAAGTGAAAGAGCAAGGTGTCGAGGTGTTCTCTTGATAAGAAGTGTTTGGAAGTCTTCCCTCTTCTCTTTTGTGTTGATTTTTTTTTCCTCAAGATCAAAGAAAGCTCTTATTAGACTAGTTTTGGTGGGATTTTTATTTTACCAATACAAACTTTTCTCCTTTTTCCTTTATCTTCCCCTTTTATCTTCTCAAAAAATAAAAATTTTATATCTTAAGACCACAAAGATTAAGTTGAGATAATAGTCTCAATAATAGGTTGACTATGAAATTTTAGAAAAATAAGAAACACTTTTCTTTAATTGAGCAACTTTTTCATTCCCCTTAATTACATCTAAAGGCCAGTAGCTGTTGACAGGTGTGTCATATAAAGAATAATAAGTTTAACCTTTAGTATAAATATGATTAATACTATATGTATCTAATATTTGTACCTCAGATCAATTCAAAATCCTATTTTGCACGCAAATAAACTTGAATATATGACCTAATTAGATGTAAAAAAAAAAAAAAAAAGAATAAATAAATTATATTAAATAAGTTATATTATTTTGCAAAGCAGGGTAATTACCTTTATTAAAGTATTGAGTCATCAATTCTCAATAGAGTAATGATGATTATGCGTTTGTTGCACCATATAACTCGTTAAGCAAACTCAGGTAATTCCCCTATTAGCACAAAATAATAACAACACAAAGAATTTTGCTATACTACGTTTTAAAAGATGAAAATATACCCTTTTTGGATCAAATACAATATTAAAATTAGTGAAAGAATTAGTTGATATGTTGTCTGATATGTAGGAAGGTTCATGTTCATATTCACATTCCCATTTAAGCCGTTTATTTCTGCGTTTACGAGCCTCTCGCGACAACTTCTTCATAACTGGTGTTTCCTCCAACATAACTTCTTATTTCGCTTATTGGTTGAGTTAGTTGCATCTATTGTGGTGGGATAAAAAAAAAAATTCAAAATATGTTAACCAATAAGCAGAAAATGTACAAAAACAACGCTATTCGACAAGCCGTTAGCAAAAAAAAATAATCCCTAGAGCCGATAATGCTCAAGAAGAATAGCGTATACTTTTGTAAAAAAAAAAAGTAGCGTGGGAGTAAAAATGACGTTGATAATTGGAGCATGAAAATTTTTTTAATTGGTAATTACATCATTTTGATAGTAATTCGGGTTTGATCACAAGTACAGTATATTGAATAATCAAGCACTGCGATGAGTCTTTCTTAAAGTTTAAAATTTATTTAATAATTGTAAGAATACAATGTTCTTTCTATTTCATATTGGTACTAACTTATACACCGCCTACAAGCAAATCAAGATTCTGGTGAGCCAGAATCGTTATGACACCATAAAAGATTTACAAGCAAAAAGGAAAAAGCACAGGAGGTTACAGAAGCGGAGGAGAAAAAGAGACGAAGACAAGAGGAGAGGTTCGTCTTATATTACTATCTTTTTCTTTAGAGTTGTTTTCCCTTGATATTTTATTAAATGCAATTGTTTTTTTAGGGCATAAAAAAAAAACCTATGGTATTCTAATGTATTGGCGGCTACCGAATATTTTGATGGGTTATCTTACAGACTACCGACAAAAGAGACTCGAGAGGCATACAAATTGACCTTAGCATTCATTCATCAAAACCTCGGTGTCAGGCTCAAGATATAATTTGAAGTGCTGCAGACGACATTCTGCGAATTTTAAAAAATTATTTACGCAAGGATTTTGACAAGAAAAAAGATATTGAATCGATCATTGGTACTATTGCACCAGATAGATTTACGCAGCTAGTGAATTTGAGGAAAAATAACAGATTATTATTCTGGGATGCCATGAATAATAGTGAACTTTCAGGCGAGATTGATGATGAACTTGGAGTTGCCGTAGTATTTGATAAAGAGGAAAGTGAATTTAAAAAATACGAAGTTGAGTCTGAGGAAGATGACGGTGAAGGTGATGTCGAAGCATCGACAACAGGTGTATTAGGCGTTGGTCAAGTTGAAGATGAAGAAGATAGAGAGATTCATTCAGATGAAGAAAACGAAGGGTTCCGAATTACTATTGGTCCAGATACTGTCAAATCAAAGGTTACTGGTGTACAGGCTTTACAAAATATCTTCGCATGATATTAATGCCTTCTGGCTTCAGCATCTAATATCAAATTACTATTCAGATCTACACACCGCATAAGAAAAGACGGCGAATACTATGCAAATACTTGAATTAGATAGAAATACTCATGACTGCGAAAATAAAACAATGAATCTTTTTGATAATGAAAAATTCGATCTGGTTAATTTGATAAGAAATAAGGAATTAATTTTATGGTGTACGAAACTTACCAAAGTTAGAACAGACAACGCTAAGCGACAAAGTATCGAACGCGAAATTTGAGAGCAAGGATTTGAATGAATTCTTAATGAACTTGGAGGAGAGAGAATTCGTCGTGATGAAAGTGCCGCCGGAAAGGTGTAGTTGAGGACGTAATGGAAATAGATGCTAAACCTGCGCCAGAACATGGTCCAATTCTGCTTCTGTCAAGGATACTTTACCTTCGGTAACGACATTTAATGTCTAATAAAAAGTGCAAGCTGTTAAAATGGATCTCATAAGATTTCTAAGATGCCGAAGATGGGATTGATTTTATTGAGAGTGCAGGCGAATATACTTGTTATTTGTGGGTGAAGAAAGGTAACGATCGTGCATTACTATGTTTATTTAAGAAAATATTACCAACTCAATTCTGATTTTGACAAGTCTAATCAGCTTTCTAGCCCATGTGGTCGAGATTCAGTTTTTGCCTTCAATCTTTATTCGGGCATCAAGGAGAATGACATTTCGCAATTCATAACCGAAGTCTAGCAAAAATCTGGGGGGAGGGGAAGAAACCGATATTCCTTGACTAAATAAACACATGTAATAACATTGATCTCCTAGTGGACCTAATTAGCTCATCGATAAATTGTGAGAAACCGATTCATCATAATATCTGAATATTTGCCACGTGCAACTCTTACCATTTGCGAACGGGAGTGTCAGCGTGACTAGTCTAGAAGCCAAAACATGTAAAGAGCAATGTAACCTTGTATATAAAGTAAAGCCATTCCTCGATCAAATTCTTGATTTGTTTGGGATTATGGTGAGCTTAAACAGGAGAACGAAAAGCGCAAATCTTTATAATGATAATTTTTTATATTCCCATTATCAGAATTATAATTTTTATTAAATCTTTTATCAAGAAAAATTAGAAAGATCACAATACAGACTAAAATAATTACTCCAAAAAAATAACAGATGTTATCAGACCGTCTAGATCTTTGTGATCTTTTTTCTAATTTAAATAACCTCCTATACGATCTAACCCTTTCATTATGAATTTTTTGAAGCATCTGCAAACGATGATCGACAATATTTTCAAAAGGATAATTCAAAAGTCACATTCCAAGTCATATATGTTGGTCAAAAGTAGTTTAAACGGTGAACTTCTTGCGTATAATAGTGCTTGATCAGTATATCCATTCCTATTAGGTACGACAAGAACTCCCAAAGTTTCATTCCTGTTATATCTAAAAAAAACTTGATTTAGTAATAGAAATCTTAAATAAAATCTTCAAATATCTAAGGGATTACCTTGAGAGTGTTCCTTCGAATCTTTTTATTTCCGTTTTTCCTATCTTTACAGCATTGCCCTTGCATATAACTAAAACTTCATGTTCTCTATAAACGCCAAATATATCAAAATCTTCATCTTCCCTACAAGTAGAAGAAAGGAACAAAACCAAATAAATTTTTTTATCATAATGAAATAATCTAGATTTGGGAACTAGATCATTTTATTATACACCGTATTCATCAAAATTATAAAGGCTATAGGCCCGCGATACGCTTCCATTCCCGGCATAACTTCAGGTGTATACAATCAAAAATTTACTTAGTAAAATATGAGGAGTGTCTTACGTGGCGAGACGAACATGAAAGTTCATTGTTTGAAATACGTCGAAAACTTGTTGTTTGAATGGAGAACGTTTGTTGATTGACAGGGCAGACCGACTGTTAGACATGTTGATTGGCGAAAGAAGATGTACGGTTGAGCTACTTAAATAAGTTTCTTATATAATGTTACAGGTAAATGCGGTGCAGACGTGTGACACGATATCGCGTTACGTCAGCTTGTTGTTGCGAACGCGAGAAAATTAGTATGGGAAAATTATAGAATGTGTAAGTAAGATGGATGTAAGCATGTAAACAATAGGCACAGTAGCACATAGTATAGAAGTTTAGATTAGAGATTATCATTAAGTAATAAACAATAAATTACAGTTTAAAGAGAACTCTTACCTTGTGTTTAGTGTGTTACCTTATTGTGAACCGAACGCAGCGAGAAGCATTGTGGGTTAGCGACCGACTTGACGGGAACGCCAGTAACAATAATAATGACACAAAGATGTGAATACTCGTGATAAAACACGATAATGACAGTATATAGAGCTAATTTAAAAGTCAGACAATGTATCTTTATCGATAAAATGTTCTCTGACATTCAATTTACGTCAGTGTTAACAAGGTTAAGTTGCTCCATTTCCGAATTATAAAATCAGAAATTTCAGAAGAGTTCAATAGCTTGTCTTTAGTAACCCATCTTGGAAAATCTAATCATTTATCTTCTGTAACCCTAGTTTAAAAAAATAATTTCTGAAGATAACGAACAGATAACAAGTAACGCACGGAGAACCTCGCGCCATGCACAGTTACCTAAAAAAGTAAGAATATACTTCCCTAGTTATTTTTTAACACTTAAAACGTCATACTCATGGATTTTCAAAAAAATGATACTGACAAAGAAACTTGGTGTTAAAGGTATCGAGTTACAGTACATGAACATACAAAAAAAAATAATGTTTAACAATTACATGTACTTAAAAAGCTAGTATATACTGTATATAATGTACATATACATTATGTTATTATTCTTTTGTTAAATATTTTATCATTCCTTTGTCGAAATAATAAGTGACGTACGTATACCACGTTTAAATTTACTGCGTTCTTACTTTTTTAGGTAATGTGGCAATACTTCATATGGTTACTCATCAGAGTAAATGATTGGATTTTTCTAGAGTTTGTCCTAATAAGTTACTGCTTTTTTTAATAGAATTATTTTAAAGATACATTAATATGACCAAGTCTTTTTTCAAGAAGGATTACTAAAGTTATATACTGTATTTATATTTTATATTTTATATTTTTTGATATGTTCCGGACGCACAATGGATTCCGTTTCCTAGTATTATTAATCAATTAAGTATCAAACTGACCCTTGTCCTTAAGCAAACCGGAATCTTAATATAGTGAAATAAATCTCAAAAGAACATGGTAAATTCAAATCTCAAACTAAGCTAATATATGATTTGCTATCTAATCTACTTGTATGAATACGTTTATCAGTGTATCGAATATACAATAAATGACCTCATATTGGTTTTAACATTAAATATGAGTGAACATATACTTCGCGATACGTTACGTAAGCAGAGATCTAAATCAAATGAAAATTCTGAACATAATGACTTTCATCGTAATACTATAGTGATAAAAGTTAAAAGAGCAAATGATACTATAGAGCAATGCAATATTCGACTGGGCAAACAACGTGAATGATATAAAAAAAGAGATACATGTTCTGGGAACTGTTGATGAACCCAATCAAAAAATCCTGATGATGATCTTCCAGAGTCAGATAGAAATTTCCTGCAAGAATTTCGTTTTAAGATCAATAGCATTGCAAATATATTTTGGCACATGTGTAATGAACAATTCCCATCAGTCAATTTTAAGTGTAAATTTGTCGTCGTTGATATATTGACAAAAATTCATTAAAGAAATGCTCTTTTTATATATGTATTAATATAATAGAAAGCTTCGGATGTTCAACGATTTCCGTTATCTAGTTTATAATATCGAATATGCAATTTTCTCTGGATACACAACGGTTTCCGTTTTCTAGTATAATTCAAAACGGTGCTTTTTTTATCCTAAAATAGCAATCTAAACTCTGTTAGTGCGATGTATAAGTAAAGTGAGTACAGGAGAACTTGCTTTACTGATCAACATACATTGTCTGCATTGTCTGACTTTTAAATTGGCTCGTATTTTGTTTTATATACCGTATTGTACAGTAAGAGTATATTTCAATGAGCAGAGTTTTAGTTGCTATTTTCGGCCGCAGAGGGGGTGTTCTTTATGCACTATAGTTATTTATATTGTTTAAATAGATTTTCGGATTTTATATCCGGTATGTGGAAATTCGAAAGCCGGAAATCAAAAAGCGAAATCGAAAATCGGAAAAAAATAAAGCAAATAATGTTTGTAATTAAAAAATAAAATAAAGAAATAAAAAAAATAAAACAAATAAATAATATTTATAAATAAAAATAAAACAAAGAATAAAAATAATTTCGCGTAAATTTCGTGAATTCGTGACGATCCTTTGAGTATATATTTTTTTTAGTTTATGTATATTTTCTCAAAAACTAGCAATTTTATTTAGATAAAATTTAATATGCTGTAAATAGCTAGATTTGATATAACATATTAAAATATTATTTAAAAACGATAGAAAAATATCTGGTCGGTCTTATATTAAACACGTGATATCATATATAATGTAAGGGATTTCCGTAATTCGGAAATTTCACTTGAAATCATTGTAAGTGCACCTGCACAGGTGACGCAC